AAAAAAAAAAAAAAAAAAAAAAAAAAAAAAAAAAAAAAAAAAAAAAAATCATACATAAATTACTGGATGTGTGCACAAAGCAAGCTAAAAAGCATACAAAAATGTATTGGAGCCCCAAAAAACCAAAGAAAAAAACACGCTTGAAAAAAAAGGGAAAAAAGATGAGTCAATATTGTTAATTAAATGTACAGCCTTGGCGGTAAGTGAACGCCCAATCACCCAAAAAGCAGCAAGGGTCTCTAGTACTTACACACATTGGCGCACGCCACCTTAGCGAGAGCTTTTATTTTTTTAATCCATCCTTTACAAGCAGCCTGTTGCTCTTTGCTTTTTTTCCTTTTCATTTTTTTTTTTTAATCCAAAAACACCGCACAGAGTGTGTGAGAGAGAAAGAGGGATATTGGATGTATGTATGTGTACGTGTCAGTGCGTTTTACTTGGCACGCGATAAATCGTGTGTTGAGTATTGCACTTACACACTGGCCTGCATGCACCGTTTAAGTGTCATGCGGTACGCAGAACAAAAGGGAAAATCACTATATATACCAATAAGAGGAATAAATTGTTTTTACATTTTCAAAATTTTTTTATTCCAGTACTATACTGATTTTTTTTTTTTTTAAACCTAATGCATGCTTGCCATTGTACAATCAAACACAGATAAAATACCAGGACATGGATTAAATATACATTACGAGGTTTTGTACAAAATACCACAATATGAGTAAATAAAAAAAAAAAAAAAACATGTGTATAAAATATTACTTATATAAAATATAAATTTATACATACATGTGTACGTACAAATGTATACATAAATGTATCATGCGCATGCAGATAATGAATCGCTAATGGTAGATAATATTGATGACTAATGGCTATTCATAGTATGAGTACCCGTAATATTTGCAATGATAATTTTTGAACCTTATTTTTTTTATCCATTGCGAATGTTATATACTTATTTAATTATTTTACATGGTTGCGCGTGTTCTGCGTGAAATAGAAATCTATATATTTTATAAAAATAAGTAAAAAAAAAAAGGAATAGTTGGTGCACAATGT